TTACCCAAGGCATGTCTTAGCCTCATCACTGATGATTAGTTTCTGAACTTTGTATAGGGCAGAGATAATCCGTAAGAACCAGAAGGCAGTTCCTCTTCTTTCTCATCCTTTTATCTTTTTGTACACAAGGCCTGGGAGAGGAAGCTTAATTTATCCCACATTCAAAGCTCCCGAGTCACTCTACAGTGTAATTTTACCCAACTCAGGATTTAGGTTCTCAAATCAATTTTTAATAAAGCTGAATACATTATAGTAGTCCCAATTATTTTTTAAATTTCCTGAATCTGCCCTTAAATTGCTAGGATCAGGACCCTTAGGAACGCAAAAATCAAGATGTCACTCCTTCTATTTCCCTTTGGATGTTGCCTGTTATTATAGTAGTCCCAATTATTTTTTAAATTTCCTGAATCTGCCCTTAAATTGCTAGGATCAGGATCCTTAGGAACGCAAAAATCAAGATGTCACTCCTTCTATTTCCCTTTGGATGTTGCCTGTTACATCCTGTCCCTTGGTATAGCCAAGGTGTAGTTGGAGCATCAGGATTAGAAGAGTGAGTCCCTCTCTCCCGCCTCTTTTTCCTTCTCCTCTTCCTCCTCATTCTTATCCTCCCCCATTCACCCTCACCCTAAGGGCCTTGAGTTGAGTTTTGAACATTAATGGCTGACACACCGTGCTGACCTGGGACTCTGACCCACTGAAGTGTGGGCATGTTGTATGTGTGTGGGGGGAGGGTGGGCTCCAGTTTAGCCTCATCTGGACCAGAAGCTTCTGTGCCATGTGACCCCAGACCCACTGGCTCCTCTGGTCCTGGTTGCCCATCTCACCCACTTGCATGACCCACTAGAGGATGACCCAGGGCATTCCAAACTGTTCTCAGGCCCAATTCCCACCCAGAACTGGGTCCCTCTTCTCAGGCCTCTGCGCTGGCCCTGTCTGTGGGGTTATCATGCAGGCCTTGCTCTCCACTCTTCAGTCAGGAGGGACCAAATCACTGTATGTGACTTCTGTCTTTCCCAGCACCCCATTGGGCCTGCGGTGACTGGGTTTGGTTGCCAAGGTTACCTCCAAGTTTTCTGACCACATGTAGAAACCTCAGGTTGAAAGAGGCTGGTGGGAAGACAGAGGCTGGGCTGAGATATTCCAGGAGGATAACATCAGCTCACTCCTACTCAGTGCAGTGTGTATTTTTTGTTGGTCTCTCTGTCTGTATTAGTGTGGGGAGAGTCTATATATCTGAGTGAACGTACGTACTTAAACGTGTACATGTGTGCTCTGATGTTTGTAGATAGGAAAAGATACG